TATGTTGGTTGGCATGACTGGAGTGGGTAAGGGAGCAGGTTGTGTGGTTGTTGGAAGTGAGACAGATGTGTTGGTGATATTTGGGTTATGTGATTGCATTGCACTGTTTTTGCGGCTGTAAACTATTGGAAAAGAAGGATGCTTTGTAATTTTGGTTGATGGTTGTTGGGTATTTATTGGTGATGAAGAGGGTATTGTTGATAAGTTTGGAAGAGACTCTGTAGGATGGGAGTCATTTGAATTCCTAGGGATAACTGTTGGGGTTGGTAGAGGGGGATAAGATTGGATATCATGAAGAGGGGGAAGGGTAGGCAAGGTTGGAGGAAGAGATATACCTGGATTTGCAGATTCTGTTGAAGCGCAGCCAGAGGAGATGGTCTCAGTTGTACGTAAGATGGACTCTGCATTGGGTAAAATCACTGGGGAGGGTAAATCTATGTTAACTGAAGGAGAGAAAATAGGAGATGCAGTTGAGTTTGTTTGGGTTGGTTTTTCCCACGCAAGTGTTTTAAAATTTGAGGAAATTTTTGAAAATATATTCTGGAAAGGAAAATATCTTCAAAAAATTTTACATCACGAGACAGGTATATTTTTTAGGCTTTCGGATCAAAACATTGATGACAATGATAATTTGATGAAAAACCCAAATAAACACACGGGGTCGACCTCGGCTCTAATTTATTTTTTGTGTATGGTTTTAGCCACGGATAACATAAACACCCAAAAATTTTCAAAGAGTGATAATCAGGTGTTTTTCCAAATAACATTTGAAAGGGTGATTGATTTTTTAAAAGTGAGGTAGGCAAGCGATTTATTAGATAAACCGCATGCTGACAAGCAAACGACCAAAGAGACGTCGGAAGCGAAGCTTCATGAAGTAATGTTCTTGCAGTTTCAATAATATGTCTATGACGTCGTTCTGCAAGAGCAACTCTTTGAGGTGTGTATGGAGGAGCTAAAAGATGTTCAATACCTTGAGAGCTTAAGTATGGATCAAGGCTTTTATATTCTCCACCACCATCTGTATAGATTGACAGAACTTTTGTATTAAAACGACGTTCCATTAATGCTTGAAAATCTTTGAAAAGTTCTTTAACCTCACTTTTATTTTTCAATGGATAAAGCCAAGTGTATTTGTATATTGATCAACAAAAATGCAGTAATATAACTTTTTATCAATTGATAAAACCGGTGATGGACCCCATAAATCACTGAATATTGTTTGAAATGGTTTTGAGCTTGATAGCGTAAGTTGCTGAAAAGGATGGCGATGAACTTTGTTTGATGAACAAGAATTACAAACTGAAATTTTTTCTCGCAAGCAGGGTAGCGAGAATTTATTTAAAACAAAATTTAAAACTCTTGCGTGCGGATGACCCAATCGTCGATGCCAAGTGATAATAGAGGAGTTGGGGGAGGCCACATGTGCTCTTGGTGAAGATGAATTTGGCCACTCATACAGACCATCTCTACTCCGACCGCGTACCAACGGAGTCTGCGTTTTCAAGTCCTTAACACAAAAATGAAAAGGGAAAAATTCAACAGAAGTTAGATTATCTTGACAGAATTTTGAAACTGAAACCAAGTTTTGTTTAATGCTAGGAGCACAAAGAGTATTAGAGAGTTTGAAAGCATTATTTGATGCATGTATTTGAGTTAAACCAGTGTGAGTTATGGGTATTTTGTTACCATCACCCATAGAAACTTGCTCCATGCCATTGTATGCTTGCAAGTTGTGCGGTTCAGCAGTGATGTGATGAAATGCACCGGAGTCGAGAATCCAAGGATTTGGTGCTGTTTGCATGGCTGAAATGTAGTTGGCCTTGGCCTCATAATGATTATGAGATTCGGACCTACATACACTTGCAACGTGTCCTACTTTGTTGCATAATTGGCATCTAACACGTCCAGAGTTGGTGGTGTTTGAATAGCGTGACTGCTGGTTGGTAGGCAGATCGATTGTTGTATCGCCACTGCTGGTTGTTGCTGCTGTTGTTGTTAGCGGTGCGCCTATTGTTCCGGTTGGTGGCAGGAGCAGGCTTATTTTGTGAAGCATAAGCTGCAGTGATTGAGCTAGCAGGTTTCTTTGACTCTTCATGCCTCAAGAAAAGTTCATGATCAAGGAGCTTTTCATAGAGTTCTTCATAGGAAATTGTAGACTCACGAGCCCGAATAGCTGCTGAAATTTCACGAAACTCTGGACCCAGACCGCTAAGAATCTTAACGATGAGTTCAGAGTTTGTGACCGGGGCACCAGCAGTCGAGAGTTCATCAGAAAGAGAGCGAATATTTTGTAGATATTCGGTGACTGGTTGGGAATCTTTATTGAGTCTCGCAAGACGATCACGAAGACTAAAGATTCTAGTTTGCGACTTGTTTGCATAGGCAGTGTGTAATGCATCCCCCTTTCTTCGCAGTCTCAGCAGTTGCAACAGTAGTGGCAATTGTTGGATCAACAGATGCCATGAGTGCATTTTGAATTAGTTGATCTTGGCGGAACCAAAGAGCATATGTTGGGTTGACACTAGTGACTGTGCCAGTTGTGATAGTGCTGGATGGAGCAGGAGTAGACCCATCTAGATAACCAAAGAGATCATGGCCGTGCATGAGCATGGAAAATTGTGCCTTCCATGTCGCAAAATTATGACTTCCAGTTAGTTTAATCGGAAGTTGGGATGCAGGATTGAACTGGACAATAGTCGTGGTGGTGTTATTATCAGCATTGACTACGCTGGTGGTGTTGGCCATTTGTGGAGGGTGGGAGGGAAAAAGAAAATAAGGATCTTACTCGTTAGAGTGTTATTTAGGCTCTTGATACCATATAAAGACTTGAAAGTAAAGGCTTGAAAGTGATGATCTTTATTGAGTCTTCAATGACCTTTAAATACAAGAAGCAAATAACTAACTCCCTAAGCTAACTCCTCTGATGGAGGAGAACGTAACAACTTAACAAAACTAACTCCCCTAAATAAGAGACTTATTGTAATCTAAAATTAGCAACTAAGTAGGAACTAAATCTTAACAACTCAACTAAATAAGAGGTAAAAGAGTAACTGCTACTGCTGCATATGTGCTAATACTTATGTCATCGAAAACGTGCATATTGAACGCATATCTAACAAGTCTAAACAAACTAAAGAGCATGAATGTTGATGTGGCAAATGAAACCAATGGAAAAAAGACATATCAACAAAGGAAAAAGAAAAGTCAAAATCTGAAAAGAAAAGAGAGGGGGAAGGAGTTGACCAGGAAAGAAATTCCGCCAAAGCTTCATTTTCAAGCAACACCATTTTTTTCCAATAAGGGTGAGTTGCCAATTATTCTGGCAAGGAGTCTTGCATTTGATAAAAGAAGAGGAGCAAGGGGTGGCCTAATGAATCTAGAGACGAAGATACCCATTGTTTTTGGGCAAAAACTCTTCTTCTTTTTTTCGGGTAAAACACACTAAGTTTTAGGGGAAGATACCCAACTAGCCATGTCATCAAAGTGTGTTCAGTAGAACATTTTCAACCACATAAGGTGTACAATAGGTTGGATCTGAGAGTCTAGATGAATTTTTTTAGCAAGTTCAGGGGGTCATCCATATATTCTGCCTCCTATTTATTTTGATAAGATTTCTGCTACAAATATAAGATACTTTGAAATGCATTCATCGCTCACAGCGTCGACTAGCCTGATTTCATGATAACTTATTCCTTTCGCATTTATAGATCTACCATCTTAGAATGCTACGCACACTAATACTCACCCAAAGACTTTGAAAGATGGTTGCTAAATTGCTGGTCATGTCCATAATAATGTTTATATATCAACATACATGCGCACTCTAGTGTACCAACAGCTTTCCCCAAGAAAATTTCGGTCCTGTCCACTTACCTTCAAGTCTTAGTCCATTTTGCCCATCAATTGTTAACTACACGACTAGGACAGAACGCAATATCCTCAATCCCTGCGATCCCACGATATCTAGCCTTTTAAAACCAAGATAATTCACTATTTCTAGAACCTAATGATGGCTTTACTTTGCATGCAATCCTTCTTATATTCTTGCATAAGCTTGTTTTGGTTCCTGAAGTTTCAGAATGAGCTTATGCTTAAGGTTAGGGTACACTCAAAATATCAAACTGCTAAGAAGCTTATATAATGCCAATTTAACAGTTGATACTAGAAAGAATCAACTAATATGGATCCCCCTGAAGGAGAAACATTCTTAACTGGGCACTTACTATGTAATAAATAAGCTATGTCATATCACAAGAACCTCATACCGTTCAAGTAGTCAACAACGAACTGAAAAAAGGAAAAGTCAAAATTCCATAGACAAAATTCACAACAATTTTTTTATTATTATTGTTAGAAAATTCACCACACAACTTTGGAGTCTTGTCTTTATTCAACATTACAAGGTGATGCTTAGGAGGGCAATAGAGACAAATCACTAAAGGGCAGCCCATTGCACTGAGCTCTCGAAATGCGCGGCGTGCGGCGAAGGACCGGACCACAAGGGTCTATTGTACACAGCCTTACTTGGATTCCTGCAAGAGGTTGTTTTCACGACTCGAACCCGTGACCTCAGCAACTTTGCAACTTTGCAACTTTACCGGTTATGCCAAGGCTCCCCTTCGATAGAGACAAATCACTATTTGGAAGAAAAGAAAGACCGCTAGAAGAAGAAAGACAATTCAGAGAAGGGTGTTTTTTTAGGAAAATTTGATTAAGCGATAGGAATATGATGTTGTTGTTGTTGTTGTTGATAGGAATATGATATTATCGCATACCAGTGAGATGATATACTATAAAAATCTTGTTTCATATATTCTTTTCAGTGTAAAGAGAGGAAACCAGTGTGTATAGATAATGAAGATAACTTCATTAACTTGGTGTGTAATTAATGATATAATGTTGAAAATCAATACTTTTCATACCACGGTTTTTCCATGGTTGAAGCAAAAACACATCTCAAAAAGCAAATCAAAGCAAAAGGGAACAGAGCATTTATATAAAACTAAAAAAGAAGAAATTTTTCACCTGATGTTGACATTGTTATTAGAGATGTGGACAGAAACATTTTTAGAAACCCATTTCTCAGCAGCTTTCAAACTACCCATAGTGGAAAGCAAGTCATTAGGAATACCAACCATAACTTCAAGTTCAGTGCCAGCTTTCCCTAAAGCTTTAAGTGTCTCATAATCTGCATCAAATAGCTTAACTTTCCGGATCCCATTTTCTCTTAGCATTCTCACTACTATTTCAGGAGGCAAACGGTGTGTTGACTGAGTTCCCCAATTAGCTCCTATTCCACTCACTGGAGAAACCAATACAAGAAATAACACCACCCCAAATGATTTTGACCATGGAAATAACCCCATTTTAGACTTCTTTGCTTTCTGTTCACTAAATTAATTAACTAGTAGAGTTTTGTTCTATATTCCAAACTGAGCTGTAAGCTACCAAAAACAGTTGATTCTTGTCTTCAAAATCTGAACTTGGACAGCAATGAAAGATTCTTGTTTACAGCTCAAAAAAAAAAACTGTATAGAGTATTTCTACTTGGCCTGAAATTTCCACCTCCAAGAAACAGAATGGAAAAGAGAAAAGTTTTGAAATTTAGTGAGAAGTGGAAGAGGGAATCACCCAAGAAAAGGGTAAAGAGCAGAAAAAATGTTTTTTTCCAAGCCAAAAAGGAGATATTTTTTTATATTTTCTGCAAAAGGCAAATATAAGAGACTTATCTATAAGAATAGGAAATGGCCCAAGTGAGTCACAAACATTATGAAGTGAATAAGGATTACTAGATATTTAATCCAGTTATGAAGCATGAAAAACACAGCTCTAAAACTCCAAAGCACAGATAAGAGAGAGAACGTGCAATTGTACTTGGGGTCATCTGGGGTGAATAATAAAAGCAGAGACAATGGTCAGGACGGTCTCGTTGATATTATTAAAAGAGTTGTCTCTATCAAAAATCAGAACCGATATAGGGTGCGTTTGCTACGAAATAAAATATTTTATAAAAAAAAAAATTTGATTTTCCATGTTTGATTGGCTTTTAAATATTAGAAAAATATTTTTTTTGTTAACTCATTTTATTCTAAATGGAGTAAAATATTTTCCCTATCCAGACAAGGGAAAATATTTTTCAAAAAAAATTTCAACATCCCCACCGTATTCCCGTCCCCACAGATCCACCCCCGCCCCAACCCATACTCACCCAACCCTACCCTAGCCATCTCGCCCCCCAAACCCCGCCCCCGACCCCCACTCAAAATTGAAATATTATTAATAGTACTTTCTTTTCATGATAAATAAAAATATATTTATTTTTATTTTAACAAAAAAAGTACTTTCTTTTCATGATATAGAAAAATTATTTTCTTTCTTTTCAACAAAATAATATAGTAAAATGAATTTTCTTTCATTTCAACAAAATGAGTATTTTCTTTTTATGATGTGGAAATGAATACTTTATTTTCATGTTGTAGAAATAGTACTTTCTTTTCAACCAAAAAAAAGAATATTTTCTTTTTTAGTTATGGAGCACAAATTTCAACGTTGTCTTTGCGTTATAAAGTAAAGCAGCATATTAGTTCCCTTGGGTTTGTGTAAATTGTTAGAAAAATAATTAAACTCTTGAAGAAAATAGAGTCCTGAAAATATTACTCCATCTGTTCCAGTTTATGTGAACCTATTTCCTTTTTGGACGATCCAAAAAGAATGACCCATTTCTAAATTTGGTAACAATTTAGCTTAAACTTATAATTCTACTCTAAATGAGAAGCTTTTAAAAGCACACAAATACTCTAGGCCCCTTTTTGACTTGTTTAGGACCACAAATTCTAAAAAAATTTATTTTTTCTTAAACTTCATGCCCAGTCAAACAGGTTCACATAAATTGGAACGGAGGGAGTAGATATTTGGGAGAGGGAGAGGGCATAGGAAATATGGGGAGTTGGGAGAAGGAGGGGAATGAGGAGAGTAGCATAAAAAATATTTTCTTAAAATAATATTTTCTACTCTCTAACCAAATACTAAAAAAATATTTTTCGAAAAAAATTTTTCACTCACCAACCAAATAAAGAAAAATAAGTGATAAAACCACTCATTTTCTTTCGTACCATACGCACCCATAGTGTTGAACAGTTTTGAGCTATATAGATATAATTTTTGTGGCTCACTTGTTTTATTTTATTTCAAAACTAATGTTATCTTATTATATTTTGTATGCTTTTCATTTTAATATTTATGTTTTATTCTTAATAATATTTCTTTAGGTATGATTTTTTATATGTGTAGGAATATACATACTTATATCAAATTTGAAACAATCTCTCATCGATGTACTAAAAAGTATGTCAAGAATAAGGACAAATAGGTGTTGTGTTTGCTGTTTGGACTTCGGACTCTAATGTTTAGATTCAAGTTTCTAAATACAATCTCGATATACTAAAAAGTTGTCAAATATAAATATGAGTATGGACATAATAAACACACGCATCAAAATTTTCTTTATGCTGGTATTTGCACTAAATCTTGTTAAACAGAAGAGTACATTTCTTCTAATGAGCACATGTCATGTATTTATATAACTCCCTCTGTTCTTTTAATATGATTTTTGGCATTCTGTTAAGAAAATTACTTCCTCCGGTCCAAAATAAGTGATTTTTTTGTATTTTTTTATGGTCCAAAATAAGTGATTTTTTCAGATTTCAAGAATGAATTAATTATTTTTTTCCTACATTGTCCTTAGAGTAAATAGTATTGGAATATGTGTTAGGAGTGTTTATGTAAGATAGTGAAGGTTAACATGGTCAATTTTATTGCTAATTAATGCTAAAAGGTGGGTTTCTTAATTTGTGTGAAAACATTCAAAAAATTACTTATTTTGGACCGGAAGGAGTATTTCATAAAGAGAATGTGATCATATTATCTTTATTTATTTCTTAATGATTAATTAATAATATTTGCCTCCTTCACATAGCAAGTGTGAAAAAAGAAATTAGTGCATTGAGATATACAATGATATACACATATTTTGGATCCCCTTGTATCAAGAGAAACTGCACAAAAAGTACACCCTTAAGCTGAAATATTAGAAAAAGGGAAAGAAGAAAGAGACATTTTAAAGTTAAGGCCGTTTTTGTCTGAAAAGTGCTTGGCTATTTCTGCAAAAACAGCCTGCGAAGCCCTACATATGACGTGGCTGACGCTGAACTAACGGCGTTACTTTTGTTCTTATCCTACTGTTTGCTCTCTACGTCATGTTAACGGTGGCTCGTTAATGGCTTGATTTAAGTAGGCGTTTGGACATAAGAATTGCAAAATGCCAAAAAATAGTGAAAAAAATTTTCTAAGTGAAAATGGTATTTGAAATTTAGAGTTAGTGCTTGGATATAAATTTTAGTTTGGGTTGTTTTTTAAGTTTTGTGAGTGATTTGAGTGAAAATTTTGAAAAATAGATTTTTGGAGTTTTTGAAATTTTCGAAATATTCTAAAATGCATCTTCAAATGAAAATTAGAAATTTTATGAACAAACGCTAATTTCGAAAAAAAAGTGAAATATTTTTGGAACAAACGAAAAAAATATTTAAACAGGCTCTAAGTATACTTTTTGTCTTAGCACTATCACTGCACTCTAGAGCATTCAAAATGGGCTTGGCGTGTAAGGCCAACCCAACCCAACTCGCTACTTGGGTAGGGCTGGGTTGAAATTTTTTTAGCCCATTTAAAATTGAGGCTTATAAGCCCGGCCCAAGTCATCCCGCTGGCCTTGAGGCTTGACCGAGGCTGGGCCCGGGCCGGCCCGTGGGCCAGAAATTAATTATATTCAAATTTAAATATTTTAAAAAAGTAAAAACTAAAAAAATATTAACTATAATCCCCATTTTCCAACCTTAGGTTGCTCATTTGCCCTTCCATATCAACTAGAATTTATATTTTTTTATATGCATGTAGTATGACAAGATTAGTTTTTCTTTTGCTTAATTAACAACGAACTAGGAAACTTTTAAGTGGCCAGTAATATTTTTTTCAAAAGAAAATATTATTTTAAGTGGCCAATGATCGATTTGGTTACTTTAATATATTATTAATTATTAAATTACTCTTCAGTATAGAAAATGTTCAAGTTTTAATACCCAAAAAAAATTAACAATACTAGCAAATATCATGAATTTTAAAAATTTCATGGGCTATAATGATGAAATCGACAAATAATGTTAAACCTAAATTAAAAAACCTTAACATATAAACTTATTGAAACAATTCTTGAACCTAAGGAAAGGGAAAGAAAAGTACTAAAAAATATTCATGTAACGTTAAAAAAAGAAGAGCTAGAGATATAGAGAATTTGCATTTCAATTACGAGATTCCTTGTCAAATATCGTGATTCTTGTACACTCTAAATAAACATAAGTCGTTTATATGATCAAGAGATTATATCACGAAAAAATATCTAAAGACTTGGAGAAATACTTTTTCTAAAAAATTGAAGGGCCGGTCCGCCCTAGCCCGCTACCCTCTTAGGGCTGGGCTGGGCTGGCTAATTTAAGGCCCATATAAATGAAGGGCCGGCCCGCCCTAATGTTACACCCCAAGTTTTCATACGTGAGAGTACGTCGTAAGTCATTGATGTAAGCTCGAAAATGAGATTATATTTGGAAGCAAATAAAGTAAGTTAATCATGTTACCTTGGAGGTTAAAAATATTTAAGATCATGAATAACAAGTACCAAAAGGGTTGGAAAGCTTAGTCGCTAAACGAATTGAAGAAAATAAGTTTCGTCAAAAATCGACAAGTTTGGAATGTTATAACATATTCTTTTGGGGTGAGACTAGGGTAATTAACATGATGAGGAGGTTAATTTATGAGTTATTATAGTCGTATGATAGTCGTGTGTTATGTTTTTAAGTCAAACGAGTTATGGAACAAAAGTTAGCAAAGATCATCACAAGTTGTATTTATAATGTGCTGAAATTTAGGTCAAATGTAGATGCACTTTTCTCCCAATATACTTGGCATAAATGGATTATCTACATATCAAATTGAAGATCTACGAGTCTAGTTTCCAACGCATTAAACCATTCGTCAATACGACATCGGAGTAGAGAGATATTCGCATTTTCGCGAGACCGCGCAAGCAGCTCCCAATGGGACCCACTTAGGCGGTGGTCGACCTACTTCACTTTATAAACGATTTGGACGCCTATTTTTCACTTATTTTCAACTCAACTTCGTCTCCAAACTTCTCCTAACCCTTCTAAACAGATTCCACAAGTGTTTCAAGTGATTCCAAAGTGATTACACCATATCTCAACATCAAAACTTAGCTCTAGTGAAGAACAACACCTCTTTGAGGTTGTGTTGTCATTGAGGATTGTTGTGGGCTGTATTTGGATGAAATTCCAAGTTGTTGCTGCTGTCTAAGGTGAGTATAACAGCCTACTAATTGTGATTAAGCTTGCTTGTATGTTGGTTAAGTTGTTAGGATGATAAACTACAAGATAGTACTTGGATTAGCTTAAGTCACTTCTATGGTGTTGTATTGCTATTGAGGGTTGTTGTGAGCTGAATATAACTTGGATTTCGACTTGAAGTTACTATAGGAGTTGTGTGTATTGTCTTCTTGCATGTGCTTAAGGTTATCTTGATGTTGATTAAGTTAAATGGATGGAGTAGACGTCAACTAGTGAATAAAGCTACTAATTGAAGATAGTTGGAGTTGAGGATTGTTTCCTTTGTTATAAATATATGGTATAAGGATGGAATCATTGATGAATGACTTCATTATCATGTTAATGATACTGTTAAATTAATGTAAGAAGTCTATAAGGGGTGATATGGGTTATACGGATTCCAATCGGAGCTTGCCGCTCGTCGTGAAGTAGTTGTGACTTGTTGTTGT